GGGGGGGGGGACGGTCGAATGTTAGGACGACCAGGGGAGGGGGGAAAGGCAGGAAGGGCGGCGCCAGGAAGGACAGAGGCAGGAGGGGCGGAGGGCGCACCGGCACCAGCAAGTCGAACAGCCGGGCCGCCGGGCTGGGCAGGAGTGCCGGCGCGTCGGCCGGCAAGTCCTCCGATCGGAGGGCCAGCTTGGTCAGGTCGGCCACATGCGCCCGGAGGATGGATGCATGAACCAGGATCCCGGGGCCAGCCGCGGCGAAGGGGGTCCCCTGCCAGGACATGGCGTTCATGATGTTCCGCCCGGAGGGCGACCGATAGCCGGCGGGCACGGTCAGGGCCAGATTGCTTTGGCCGCCGGACTCCAGGGAGCAGAAGACCGAGTCGAGGACTGGATTGCCGGGGGGGGGGGGGCGAGGGGAAGGGGGATGCATCAGTGCCCGGGCGGTCGGGGGAGCACACAGGAAACGCCGGCCAGGGAATGGAGAGGGGCCCGGAGCCGGCGGGCCAACTGCACGCACCGATGGACAGACTGCCGGTGTTGATGGCGGCCGGGGGGAGGCTGCCGCTCAGGGGGACCGCCTGCGTGAGCGTGGCACTGAGCAGGCCGCAGCTGAATTGCACACAAACGCGCGTGGACGACCGGGCCCCGGAGGGGGACTTGTCCGGGCGAGGCGACGCGGCCGCGGCTCCACCGGACGCGGGGGCCGTGCTGCCGCCGGACGCCGGCTGGTTGCTGGACCAGGCGGATGTCGGAGGGATGAAGGCGTTGGTGATGTTCAGGATGTCCGTGATCAGCTGGTCGCGAATGTCCAGATCCAGCCGGCCGAGCTGCGGGCCAGGCGAGCCAGGGAGAAGGAGAGCACGCGATCCGCGGCCAAGGACGGCCACCGGGGGAGAGGAGGAGGAGGGGGGGAGAGGGGGGTTAGCAGCTGCCGAGGGAGCCGGGGGAATGCGACCGCGCGAAGGCACGAGGGGAATCGACGCACCGACAGATGGACATTCGTGTCTGAGGAGGATGCATCCAGCTCCAGCGGCGGAGTCATGAAGCCGCCAAACTGCACGGACGCCTCGCTCGGGGAGCTCATATGCGAGAGGACCACCCCGAGGGCGTCGGTCGGCTTGGCCAGCGTCGGCGACCATGGCAGGCGCAGGGACTTGACTCGCTGGCGATCGGCCCCGGGGCCGGAGCCGGAGCCGGGCAGCGGCGGGGACATCACCGCGGTGGGGGGCTGCTCGGTCCCGGCTCCGGTGCCGGGCCCGGGCGAGGGTCCGGCGAAGGTTGGCCGCGAGCCGATCCGGAAGAGCACGGACGACTGCCGCCGGCCGGCATCGGATCCCGGGACGCTGCTGCCCCCGAGGCGCAGGTCCTCCACCGTCACCACGCGTGCTGACAGGGACAGCTGGCTCAAGTTGGCCGGGACAGCCGGGGCCCCGGCGAAGGGGGCCGGCCCGGCGAAGACCGTGCGTCCGCCAAGCGACAAGCCGTCGATGGAGAAGCACGCCAACGACCGGGCGGCCGGCGAGTCGTCCGCATCCTCCGGGCTGGCATCCGACTCGTTGAGCATCAGGAGCAACTCCGACTGCGCGCGGGTAGTCCCACGGGCGAAGTTGGTTGGCGATGTGCGTGTGTGTGCGTGGGACGAGGAGAGATGGAGATGGAGGGAGGGAGAGAGATAGAGGGAGAGGAAGGGAGCGAGGGAGCGAGAGAGAGAGAGAGGGGCGAGGAGAGATAGAGGGAGAGGAAGGGAGAGGGAGAGATGAAGGAAGGGAGCGAGGGAGAGGGAGGGAGGGAGAAATGGAGGGAGAAATGGAGGGAGAAATGGAGGGAGAGAGGGAGGGAGAGGTGAGTTGGACAGACTGCGGAGAAGCTCTCGCTGGTGGGCCGAGACACAGGTGCAGGATGCAGCAAGACAAGAAGCACCCACGGGCCAGAAGGTGGGCAAGGGACACTGGCCGGGGGCGGGGGAGGGATTTGGGAACGCACCCGCTCGATGGACGCGCGGAAGATCATGGCGCTGGCCGGCGTCAGAAGGCTGGAGTCCAGGGCGGCAGGGACGCGCACGCCCTCGCCGACGGGCGACAGCGGTCCTCCGGTCCTCGGCGAAGCCCCAGCCGGTGTCAGCAGGGGGCTCGCGCCGTCGGGCACGCCGGCGCCGGGTCCCGGGGACATGGCCCCAGCCAGAGCCGCCGGCCCCCCACGAGGCGAGGAACCCGGAGCCACCAGCGAGGCCAGGCCCACATGCAGGGGCAGGCCGCCCTTGCGGCCGGGGCCACGCCCGGGCGCCTGATCGCCAGGCATCGGGTACGGCAGCAGCCGGGCCATGTTGACCGCCGGCCCGGAGGGCAGGCTGCCCAGGTTGACCATGTGCGTCACCAGCATCGACGCCTCCTCGTCCAGCTGGCCAGCATGGCGGCCGAGCCCCGGCGACAGGGGCCGGTCGAGCCCCGGCGATCGGGGCCCCATCGACAGTCGCGGCGACCCCGGCGTCGAGGGGATGCTCAGGTGCAGCGACCGGCGCCCGGGCAGCCCGAGCGACGGGGAGCCCCGAGTCCCGGGATCGGCCCCGGTGGGCGTCGACACCCCGGTGCTGGTGCCGCTGGCGGCACGGTCCAGGCCATGCGTCGCGCCGAGGCCGGGCACGTCGTCACCGGCATCAATGCCATCGCCATCGTCATCGTCATCATCATCATCATCATCATCGGCCGGGGCCATGTAGTCATCGTCGTCGTCGTCATCGTCGCCATGGTCGTCGATGCCGTCGTCGATGACCCCCATACTGGGGGCCGGGGGGCCGGCCGGCGCAGCCGCCGGAGCCGCCGACGTGGTCGCCACCGCCGCGGGCAACTGCTCCTCGGCGTCGAAGAACTCGTCATCCGAATGGCCACCACGCGCGCGAGCGGTCTGCCGCTGCACCGCGAACAGCCGCGAGATGGAACGCGCATGGAAGGGATCCAGCACGTAGGTCAGCCGCTCGGGCAGGGCAACCAATGCGGCCACACACCGCGGCGAGATGGCTGTCACGGGCGCATGAACAAGACGGCGACAGGGTCAGCACCTAGGGCGAGGCGGCGGGGTGAACCGAGGCCAGGTTCAAACGGCCGCCCGGCTGGTGGGCATTGCGCCACGTACCGAGACGCATGTGCGACGCGTGAAATTCGATGAAGGCCGACACCGGGACCGACAGATACGGATCGGTCTGATAGCTGTCAATCAGGCCGAGTGAGTCGCTGACACTCTGGTCGAAGCGCGCCTGGTTGGGCCGGCGCTTGGACAGCCAAACCGTCAACGTGGCCCCATCCCCGGAGGCCAGGACCTCGGGCCGGGGGCCGGTCGAGCGCTGGCCACCCGGCGACCCGGGCCCCGCGGCCAGCGGCAGCAGCGAGATCGACGGCGAGGTGAGGCTCACCTGGATGGCGTGGTGAACTTGCACTCGACGGGGGACCGACACGTCGGCCGGGCCCAGCAGGCCCGGGGCCTCCACCCGCAGGAAGTCCTGGCCGTGGGCTGAGGAGGAAAGTCCACCAAGTGGGCGCGGAGGCAAAGGGGTGTGTGTGTGAGAGAGAGAGAGAGAGAGAGAGAGGCAGGGGGGGGGGGGGGGCGGTAGGAAGTGGTGAGCGAGTGCTTGCCTCTTCTCTCCTTTCCCGGTGCAAAAGCAAGCCGGTGGACCAAGGGAAGGGGGAAGCTCAGGCAGGGGACATACTCTTGCGCCCGAGCGAGGTGATGCTCAGAGAGCCGGTGTCAAGGACCAGCTCGGCCGGGGACCCGGTGCCCAGCTGGAGCTTGGCCTGGCGACCAAAGACCGACACCGGGCCCAGGTACGAGGGGAGAATGAAGCGCGAGGCCGAAATGAACACCTGGATGTCCAGGAAGGACGCCTCGCGGGCCGACTTGACAATGACGTCGGCCGCGCGCGAGGATGCCACTTGGGCCACCCGCGAGGTGGCCTTCTTCACGCGCTTCGAGCGACGCGAGAAGACCAAGGACTGGGCAGCCGAGGAGAGCACGGAGAAGGCGCGGGAAGTCGCCAGACAGGGGGTCAGCTCGGGCGGCCAGGGCGCATGGATGGCAAAGGACCTAGCAGGGAGGCAGGGACAAAGTGCGAGGGAGAGAGAGAGAGAGAGAGAAGGAAGAGCGAGGGGGAAAGAGAGAGAGAGAGAGAGACAGAGAGAAAGAGAGAAAGAGGAGGGCATAGAGAGACAGAGAAGAGACAGAGAAGAGACAGAGAAGAGACAGAGAGACGGAGAAAGTGGGCAACACACCAGTGTCGAGAAGAAGGGCGCACAGAAGCGCGCATCGATGGCCCCCACACGCGAGGTCAGCCGGTAGACACGACACCACTCGACCACGGCCGGGCCGGCGGCTGAGGCCCCGGGCGCGGCGGCTCCCCCGGCATCCGACCCGTCCAGAGCTGGCGAGGGAGTTGGAGACATGCTGCTGCTGCCCGGCGCGCCGGACCCCACCGGCTCGGAGGACTCCCACATGGATGTCAGCTGGAAGGTGAAGACTGAGGACCCGGAGGAGCGGGAACTGCCGGTGTCGGCCCCGGAAGTCAGCGACGCTCGCGAGGAGAGGATGACCGCCTCCTCGCGGTGGTTGATGCCGGGGGTGGTGCTGGAGAGGGCGGGATCTGACAGTCGCGCGTCGCGGACGACGATCGCCTCCAGCCCGCCGGTGATGTAGTAGGCCACGTCTGGTGGCGCCTGTGACAGGGTGGTCCCCTGTGGCGGTGCCAGGGTTGCGGCACCGAGCTCCAGCCCGTGCGCCTCAAGGACCAGGAAGGGCAGCATGTCTGGGCCAGGTGGGCGAGTGGTCAGAGAACAGGCAAAGAGGCGGGGAAAGGGCGAGGGGGTATGGGGGGAAGAAGGAGGGAGGGGAAGAGAGAGGGAAAGAGACATGGAGAAGAGACATGGAGAAGAGAGAGGGAAAGAGACATGGAGAAGAGACATGGAGAAGAGACATGGAGAAGAGAAAGGAAACATACCACGAGAGGCCCAGAGCGACGCCTCGAAGCCGGTGAAGCGAATGCTCGCCTGGATGCCGCCGTCCCAGGCGATCGGAGCGGAGGGGTCCTCGGCCAGGCGGTCCATCAGCAGCGAGTGGCTGTCCGGACCGACCTCCAGGCCAATCAGGTCGTAGAACTGCCGGAGCTGCTCATCGGTCACATGGATGACCGAGTCATCCTCGTCCGACTCGTCGGCCGACGCGCCAGCCGCAAGGGCAGCCGCCGGGGTGGCGCCCGGCCGCGAGGGAGTGCCCGGCCCGGCGCCGGAGGGCGTTGCTGCCCCGGCGCCAGGCTTGGCCGGGCTCGCCGGTGCCGGGGTCCGACTCCAGCGCCAGCCGGACAACCACCCTCCAAGGGGAGCACTCTCGGCGGCGGTGCCAGGCAGCCCAGGCGACCCGGCCGCCGAGGCCCCGGTGCCGGAGGCTCGCGCCGCACCGGAGCCCGTTGCGGTGGCCCCCGCGGCGGCGGCGGCGGCGGCCACCTCCTTGCGCTTGCGCACGGCGATGACCGCGGCCACGCGCGACCGCCACCGGCGGATGTCCCCGAGAGCGATGTGCTGCTCCAGGGCACGAAGCTCGGCCGCCAAACGCGCCTGCTTCTCGGCCTTGGGCCCGGCGCTCGGGGCCGGCCCCTTGGCCCCGGAGGGCTCGGCGGTGGCTTTGGCCGCGCCCGCCGCCGGGGCGGGCGTTCGGCTGCCAGTGGCCGGGGCCTTGCCAGCTGTGCCGGCGGTGGCCGGGGCCGTGACCGCGGCCGGGTTCGGCGCTGACGAGGTCGCCGCCGCCGCCGGGGCCAAGGCATAGTGCGCCGCCCGCCAGCGACGGTACACCAGCTCGTACGCCTTGCGCGCCTCGCGTCGAGCCGCGAGCACCGTCCAGTCAATGCGCACTCGGTGTGGGTTGCGTGTGGTGAGCACTCTTCGTGGGGGGGGGGGGGGGGACCAGGAGCGGGAGTCAGTGCCTGTGCATAGGGATCGGCATATATACATATATATATATATGGGGGGGGGACATGCGCGCCGAGGTGACATGGCTGGCGAGGCCGCATGTCCGAGGGTGGCGGTGGTGCCAGTGGCGGCGGTGCATATGGCAAGCAGTGTTGAGGGCATGGGCAACGCACAGGCGAACGGCATACTGCCACCACTGCCTGGCTGGCGATGTGGCGGAGGACCCATGCTGGCGCATGCGCAGCGAGCAGGTGGCCGCGGCCAGGGCCTGCGACTTAGTGGGCAAGGCCCCGAGCGGGCCGGCCGGCGCGTCGGCCGAATCGCCCGCGGACTCCGAGAGTGGGGGAGACCCGGCGGCCGACTCGGTCGCCGACTCGGCCGCCGATTCGGCCGCCGACTCGGCCGCCGATCCCGAGCCCAGGAGGGCCGACTCATCCGGCAGGGCTAGACCCGAGCCGGAGGCCAGTGGCCGGCACGCCGGCCGAGTGCGAACAATGTCGAAGCGCACCGACTCGGCCACGGTCTCGTCGTACTGCTTGGCGGCGGCGGCCTCGGCGGCCGCGACGGCCGCCGGATCCGGCCGCCGCGAGTGTACCAGGCTCTCGGGATGCGTCAGAGTGCGGATGACGCGCTCCATGCGGGCAATCGACCGGTGGCGCTCATGCACATTGATGCGCACCGGATCCGGCACTTGCATGTCCAGCGTCAGCCAGGGAGCCGTCGGGGTGGACACCGGCCGCAGGGAGAGCTGTCGATGGCCGGGAGGGGGGGGGGACAGCAAAGGAGAGCGTCGGACCCAGGTGCAAGGGAGGGGATGGGGACAGGGCGACAGAGTGTCAGTGCTTCGGAGCCCGCAGAACTGGGTCGGGCCCGGGGGTCGGGGCCGAAGCCACGATGGGGCCTCGGAAGCGGCTGCCGATGGGGAAGGCCATAGGCAGGGGGAGAGAGAGAGAGAGAGAGGAAGCAGGACAGGAGGGAAGGAGCCACCGCCCAAGGCCGGCCCCGATGCGCCGGCGAAGGGCACGCACCTTGGCCACGGCCCGCACTGGGCTGATGACGGTCGCGAAGGAGTTTGTGTCATTGGTGGTCGGGGGGAAGGGGCTGGTCCCGGGGTCCGGCGCGTCGCCGGCCAAGCGCGAGTGCGAGGAGGAGGCCGGCAGGGCACCCACCCGGGGGGATGGCATGGCCGATGTCGGGGCCGATGCGGGCTGGCTGCCGGCGCTGGGACTGGTGCCCGGGGCACCGGCCTGACCGCCCGACGGCGGGTTGACCGCCAGCCAGACGCGCTGTCGGAAGGCGGTATCCTTCTCCGGCTGCGTGCCGGTCTTGACCACGGCAGATCCGGTCAAGGTGGGCGAGTTGTCCAGGACGAAGCGCAGCCCGGTCAGGTCAGCCTGCTTGAAAATCTGGGTTTTGGAATCGCCAGACACGAAGGCTGCACCCGGCGGCGGGGAAGAGGCGCAGGGGGAGATCGAGGCGGCCAGCGGGGAGGACAGAGACAGGTTAGTGGGGGCGGAGAGACAGTCTCCGCGAAGGATGGGCGGGCGATGTGCGTGGCGTACCGCGGCGCCCATGCTCATCGATGGTGTTGATGTCCAGCGTGTCCATGACGATGCTACCGGCGAAGAAGCGCGACTCGCCGAGCGACGGGCCGTGGGCAGCGGCACCGCGCGAGGGGACCGGCCGGGGGACCGTCCCGCCGGATTGGGTGGTCTGGCGCCGGAGGCAGTTGGCCTCCTCGGCATCGTCCTCCAGACGCAGGCACACCCGCCGGACCTTGAGCTCGACATTGCGCACAAGTGTCGTCACCAGGGCCGTGCCGACGGCGTTGATGCGGCCGCTGACGGAGGAGGCGGCCCCGGAGGAGGCCCCGGCGGCGCCGGAGCCCTTGGCATCGCGCTCGGCGGCGGCCAGGCTAGCCAGCGCGCGCTCGAGCGCCGCGCTGATCGATGCCTCGATGAGCTTGATGCGCTGGAGCTTGGCCTTCAG